GTGTGTGTGTGTGTGTGTACTCGTGGTGGAACACCAAACCAATGGGCAAGGATCTGGACAATAAAGATGTATCTTATCTTATCTTATCTTATCTTATCTTACGGCGCTCACAACTGCATACGGTCATACGAGTGTCAAGGGGTGGATGTCCACAGGGCAGGGAAGTCCAAACGGGGAATCAGGCTTACTCTGCTCACTTCTCTTACCTGAACAAAACAAAGTCTGCTTCGACTATCAAGTCAAAGCACCCCGGAGATTGCAGTTCACAAGAGAGTGACAAACATACTAAAGAGGTAGAGGAAAAATGACGATAGTAAGGATGAGGAAAGAAAAAGCAGCAGTTCCTGTACTCCTACACCGGCCTGATGGTCAATGGTTCAATCCTATAACACCGTGCTGCTGTGAATCAGCACCCCGCATATCTGCCGTCTTATGACAAAAAAGCTTAGTGGTTAGGTTACCGGACTCGTACTCGTGAGGTTGGGGGTTCGGGGGTTCGAGCCTCAGCTCGGTCCGACGTTGTGTCTTTCTTAAAGGCTCTTTACATGAATTTCCCACTTGGCTCAGTCCTTTCGGAGATAGACGTTAAACTAAACTCGGAGGTTCCGCCTCTTAATTAATAATCGCTTTGAAGGAAAATCGGGCTAATCCGGATTTCGGTGGTTTCCAGAAGTCTCGGACACCAAAAGTTGGCATTGTCCTACCTATAGGAGAAGTTTGGTTCCATTGGTGTGTACATTTATTTGGTTATAGAGAAAACTCTCCTTGTATTTTAAAGAAACTGAACAAGGGTCCTAAAGCTTTACATTCGACTTTCTCAAAACACCATTTTTCGGGATAGCCCCCTTGTGCTTACAACCGACCAATAACCTAATAGTTTTGATAGGGACATTAAAAAAATAACATTTCACTTTTTTTTTCTTCCTTTCACCAGGACTCTGCTGGCGCGGACGGCGGAGATGGATAGTAAAGAGAGAGTCAAGGTGGATGAGAGCGAGCCGGTTGGAGGTGAGTTTTGTTTTGTTAGTTTGTGTTTGTGTGTCTGTCTGTTTGTTTGTTTAATTATGCGAGCGAGCAAACAGTCACAGAGGGCAGCGATTCATACTATGACGCTTTACGAATTACAAAATACCGAAGCCTAGATAGAAGCCTGCATTTTGTACCCCCGGGGTGGTATTCTTCACATTTTAGAATACTTCTAGTGCGAAGATCTCTTTGAAACTTTCAGTATTTCTCAAAAAATCATTTTGACATACTGCTATGCAAAGCGTACGGATCGGATTAACAAGTAAAGTTCCTTTTGGAAAGTGGTGGCACAGAGTTCCCCACGTCGTATGGTTACGATAGTAAAACACGACGTACGGATAGGGTTAAGTGGTGACACAGAGTTCCCCGCGTCGTACGGATACGATAGTGTAACACGACGTACGGATAGGGTTAATTATATGAGCAAAACAGTCACAGAGGGCAGCGATTCATATGAGGCTTCCCGAATTACAAAATACCGAAGCCTAGAGAGAAGTCCGCAGGCTGCACACACCTACAAGTGGAAATGCAGCTAGATAGATCTAGCTTTTAAATACTCCAAATGTGGCAAACTTTTCTCTGCCAGAATTTCTCTCACTGGCCACCGCAAAAGCTTCAAATCTTCTTAACCTCTATCTCTTCTGTTTCGTTTAAGGCCACATCAACTGTCAGCCAGTCCACTGAGAGTCGATTTTTTTTGCTTTTTAGTTGTTGTTGTTGTTTTGTTGTTGTTGTTTTGTTTTTTGTTGGGTTTTTTTTTGTTGGGGGGGGGGCGTGAAACATGAGCAATTACAACTGCACAGTGTATAAATGACTCGATCTTGTGTGTTTTCTTACTGTCCCCCGCCACCCCCGTCTCTCTCTATCTCTCTCTCTCTCTCTCTCTCTCTCTCTCTCCTTCTCTCTCTCTCTCTCACTCTCTCTGTCTCTCTCTGTCTCTATCTGTCTCCTTCTCTCTCTCTCTATCTCTCTCTCTCTATCTCTGTTTCTCTCTATCTCTCTATCTCTCTCTCTCCTTCTCTCTCTATCTCTCTCTCCTTCTCTCTCTCTCTCTGTCTCTCTCTCTCTCTCTCTCCTTCTCTCTCTCTATCTCACTCCTTCTCTCCCCCCTCTCTCTCTCTCTCTCTCTCTCT